GTGAACAGTATAGAAAAATATTCATTAAGGAGATATCGCCAAGCTGATTATGGTTAGAGTCAAGTGCCAAATTGCCAATCCAATGTTGCCAGAGTTTGGTGCATAATGGCAAACAGTGGTTTTCGAATTTAATTGTATCAACGCTCCCTTACAGTACTTTTTACATTATCACCCCCCCCTAGCACAACAGCAAATGATTAAGTTACAAATCAATTTATTGTAATTCAATTAAACAAATAGACTAATCATGGTGCATGATGTTTCTAATAAGATAGATGAATTTCAACAAGGAATATTTGAAGACATTTTAGTCAGATAAAATCTCAAATCATCATTATTCCCTCCAACAAATATTCCCCTCAAAACGTTGTCTACGCCCCCCTTGCGGAATCAAGAATTTCTGTATTTCTCAATTATTATTGTCTTGTCAATGTAAGCTTTACTCACACATTTGCGACTGCAAAAACTTGGCTTAAGATTCCTACTCTGAAAATTTGTTGGGCTGCAGTCATTCAGACTAGGCTTTGAACTCTGGTGCTGTAATTTGCTAATACTGCAATTTAACACAGAATTTTTATATTTTTCAGCTCTGGATGATCTGGCAACGAACTCCGATTAATTTTGTGGCATGTATACATATTTGTAAAATAAAGACATTTTGTTATCTTTTGTTTTTTATTATTTAAATAATGTTATAGATTAGTGGGAAATTTCTATGTAGTATAGATTAATACCTGTCTGTACAACACATCGCCTAACTTGGCCCGACCATATGCCACGATTGTATTACAACGTGTCGCCTACGTAGGCCCGGCCATATGTCACGATTGTGGTACAACGTATCGCCTACGTTGGCCCGACCGTTTGCCACGGTTGCATTACAGCGAATGGACCGACGTTGGCCCAGCGGCCAAATCTTCGCTGGAACATGGTTGTTCGCCATTATTGGGCCGGTGGTTCGAACAACGTTCGGCCATGGTTGTTCCGACGTAGTTGTGCTATCTGGGAGGTAGTCAGCAACTGACAACTTTTATAACCCCCTGGAGTAGATATAAATTTTTACGAGCTCCCATGGGCGAGTACTGTAGTCGAGGAGATGAGGCTCTCAATGGAATTCAAAACATGCAAAAAGTGGTCGATGACGTACTCATGTATTCCAAAACTTTCCCAAAACCGTGCCACAGATGTCCGTGCCATTTGGATATTTTTATATTAATGTCGTCATAACAACATCACTTTGAACCCTGAAAAATTTGTATTCGCAGCAAGCACGGTTAAATTCGTGGGGTTTATCATTTCAAAAGATGGTATTTCAGCTGACCCCAAAAAAGTTCACGCTATTTCAAAATTTCCGACTCCCACTAATATCACTGAAATGCGTAGTTTTATGGGTCTAGTGAACCAACTAGGAACTTAGCACCTTTGCTGTCCTTCTACGTAGCCTGTTACAAACACGCAACAGTTTTAATTGGACTGCTAACCATGATCAGGCATTTGAAAATGTAAAGAAGGCTACAACATCAACTCCAACACTGGCAAATTTTGATCCTGACAGTCCTACAAACTGATGCATCACGCAAGAAGGGATTGGGCTATGCTCTACTTCAACAACATGTAGAAAAATGGCGACTCGTACAATGCGGTTCAAGATTTTTAAGCGACGTCGAAACACGGTATGCAATGGTTGAATCAGAATTATTAGCTGTTGTCTGGGCCGTTCGCAAATGTCGGATTTTACTACTCGGATTACCTCATTTCACATTGATAGTAGATCACCAACCGCTAGTCCCAATTCTTGATCGCCAGACGTTGGGTCGAAAATCCTCGTCTCCAGCGTCTTAAGGAAAAACTCTCAATGTATGTGTTTTCTACAGTTTGGCGCAAGGGAAAGCTGCATGCGATTCCGGATGCGCTTTCGCGTGCCCCAGTTGATGACCCGACGAAAGATGACGTAGAGCAGGGGTCTCCAACACGCGGGCCGCATGCGGCCCGCCAGGCAGTTTTTTGCGGCCCGCGTAATGGTTGAGATTTCCAGAAAAAACTAAATTAGTACGGTGTTAACTATATGAGTTTTATCGTGTTCATATTTTATGCTATTGTAATAATTAAATCGTAAATTCAATAATTACATTTCGCGTTTTTATTATGACTGACGAAATAAACAAGTATTGGTCAGATCATTGAAATGTGCGGTTACGAATCATTAATTCTGCAAATGTGCATTTAACGCAAAACTAAATTATTTTAAACTTTTCATAAAGTAGCAAACCCATACGCAATGCAAAAAGATGTAAAAATGTTCGGAAGAGCACAGAATATTTTAAGAGAAGTGGGTGGATCTTTATTTTGTCTGAAATTATAATATCAAGGTTCAGTGTCTCGTGTGTTGTGCAATTATTGCTGTTCAAAAGGAATACGACATCCGGATATATTACGACACGTCTCATTCATTACATAGGGAAAATACCACGGCTATACTGAAACAATTCGTCACGAAAAGATATCGCAATTAGATTTTTCACTGATGAAACAGAGAAATTTTTTCTCAGACAAACAAAAATTGTGAAACTTCGGTGAAAACTTTGCCATAAGTGAGATGATTGCGAAATCGTCGCGTTCTTTCGTTGAAGGAAGCTTCAATATAGGGTGTATGTTGAAAGGTTGTGAAGTAATAATAGCAGCATTATGTTTTAACAATGAAAGTTAACAAATCAGCCTTTCGCACACGACTAAAGGACAAGAGTTTGTATGCTGTCTTAAGACTACCGAACCAACGCTAAATAAGGCCAAATATCGAGTCTCTCACCTCTACAAAACGGTGCCAAATATCCAGCACAAGTAAATGAATATGTTTCATGTCTCCTATAGTAAAAGATTCAAGTGCAATTTCAACAAATATATTCAGATTTTCCCTGTTATTTTTTGGGCTCTCCCGTAGCATGTGCACCAAGATGGCGGACACCGGAACATAGCAAGTGTACCAGGTTAGGGTTTACGGCAAAATTTTATTCCAATTTTCTTTATTTTGGTTCTATTACAAGTTTAGGAACTACTCAAGTGACTCCCGCAGTATTTGTACCTGAAATTATGGTCTAATCCTAACCTGGTACATATACTACGTCCCGGTGTCCGCCATCTTAGTGCACATACTACTGGAATACCATTTTTTTTTTTGTATATCATATTTTGTACTTAATTTGTTGGTTTGCGGCCCGCGTCGTCAATAAATTTTAAAAAGTGGCCCGCGACCTATTTTGAGTTGGAGACCCCTGCCTGAGGCTGAGGAAGATGTGAAAACCTGCGTAAAGAAAATCTGGCAAATTCGTTCACTTGAAGTTGTAGATGAGGGTGATAATTGTGTTTTTTCTGATCCAATTTTACCATGTCTTCGCGAAGTTGCTGAAAAGGATCAGGAGTACCAAAAGTTTATCAGAGTGGTCATCGAAGGGTTCCCGTCGAAATGTGAACAAGCCCCGGTTTTTGCACAACCCTTTTGGAAAATACGAAATGATTTGAGTGTGGACGACGGCTTTAATAATATACAATGCCAGAATTGTAGTTCCCCGAGGGTCAAGAAAGGAAACTCTACTTCGACTTCATGACGCGCATCAGGGCATCGTTCGTATGAAAAGACGTGCGAGACAAATAATTTATTGGCCCGGAATGAGTGTTGATATGTTGTTCAATCGTGTGATAAGTGCCAAGAAATGTCCCCAAGTTTGCCGAAGGAGCCGATGATATCAGATCCTATGCATGTGCGTATATTTCAGGAGGTTGCCGCTAGGGATGCCACATTTGGATTTCCGAATCGATTCGAATCGTTGCCTTTTCGAATCGCACTCGGGCGATTCGAAAAACGATAACGTGGCTTTACAAAAAATAACGCCGACTCTCGATTTTATTAACGGCGGTTGTCTTCCAGCTATGCGAACGGATATGATTTCACTCGAAAGCAAACAAATAAGCGCTCGTCCGGCTATCTCTCTCGAATGAATTTGCGCTTTATAATGGGATACAGTTCTTTGTTTGATGAAATTAGCATTCATTTCAACGACGAAAGATATATTTTAGAGAGAGATTTGCCTTCTTTTTTTCGGCGAAGTGCTCTCGTTTTGCGTTAGTTTTGCAGTGGGGAACACACACCAGCGAGACATCTGCTAGTGGTCTGCAAAACTCTTTGCTCGCTCGCGAAGTCGAATTCACATATCGCCTGGGCTTCTTTGATGCGTAATTTTACGACAACAATTTTCAACAGGTCTGAACATTGGTTTATTTCTTTATTGTATTTGAGAGTGAGTATTGAGCGATGTCGCAATATGTTTGTCTTGCACGCTATTGGCTGCTGCAATCGACCGACGTCGACCCTTGCTCTTTAGTTAGTATCTTGTATTGCTCTCTGTTGTGCGTGAGCGAGACGAGCTGTGATGGCGCAATCGGCAGTCATCTGCTTTGCCGGTCCTTTAGGATTTAGTTGAGTGTGCGTTTTGTGAGTTATTAGATTTCTGCTATTGTTATTATTTAGTTGGGAATCAATAGGTTAGGATAGGATGGGACTTATTGCGTGTTATATTTACTAACTGTTCTGTATTTAGTTATTTAATCCTGGAATCTATCAATATTTGTTACCGGTAACAGTAAAACTCAGCGTGGGGTAGTCTACAAACTCTGTGTGCCATTTGCGAGTGTTATTGCCGTATTGTTCTGTCGTGTTGTCAAGCGGAATATTACAACAAGTTTTTTCAGTGTTCTTCTGAGGTGTTGGGTTCAACAATTCAGTGGTTCAAGACTGAGTGGGGACTGATTGTTACAAGTTTGCATTGCAAATTGTAGGAGAACCGGGACGTGGTACTTGACAGGGTGCCATGCGCTGCTGTTAAACTCATTGGACTGCAAAATGTGCGGCCAGGCATCGGCAGCTTACTAGTATAACTTAATTATGTGACTATTTGCAATGCATTTTTATTATTCAGAATGTCTAATATCAGTAGTAGCTCTAAAAAAATAACACCTAGGCGGCAGGGACGGCGCCCCAATTCCTTAGTCTGGGAACATTTTTCTCGCCCGTCAAAAGAGGAGGGATATTCATATGTGATTTGCAACTTCTGTAAAGAGAAGTTGTCATACTGCGAGTCTACCGGCAATCTTTTGAACCACCTCAGAAGAAGACATGCATTCATCAACACTGATTCAGTGCATACATCAAAGTAAGCCAAACCTTTTTTTTAATTAATTCTTCTACAGCCAGAACGCCATATGGGCTTACGTAACTACAGAATTATAGTTCTTAAACTCGGGTACTTAAAACAGTTTCATCTAGGAAATGAAATAAGCAATGGTTTGCTAAACTAACATACTGGCAGGACTGAAAAGATAAATAGAGAAATCAGTAATTAGAAATAATTTTATACTCGTGTAACTTGAAGCTGATACAAAAGTTAGAATTGTATTAGTTGCGATGTTGACAGTTGTGATGCCCAGCCAGGTCAGGCAAATTTATGTCAGAGGCAATTGTCCACCATATTTCATACTGTCTAATCAATAAAGCAGGTCAAGCCAGCAGAAAATTTTACTAAATGTGTACAAGATTATGTAGCTGCTGTTTATATTTTATACATTTTATTTTCAGTTTAACAGCGAGCCAAGTGACAGAAGGCAGTGGAAGTGGAACAAAACAGAAAAAACTTGAAACCTTTTTTAAATCAAAGTCCATTAGCAGACGAAGACAGAATCATATAGACAAATTAATAGTCAATGTTATAATAGGGGACATGAGGCCGATCAATATCGTAGAGGGGGAGCATTTTAGAAATTTAATATCAAATCTTGAGCCGGGATACGAGATGCCTGGAAGAACTTTTTTTGGAAAACAGATTGAAACTACATATTCGCAGTATAAATGCAAACTCATGTCTATTTTAAAAGAACAAAATGTGATATCTATCACAACAGATGCATGGACAAGCATCCGGATGGAAGCTTATATAACTGTTACAGCACATTTTGTCATGGCAGGAGAACTACAGAACTATGTATTGTCCACTACACAAATAGTTGGGGACCAAACTGGTATAAACTTGAAAAGTTACATCCTATATGTACTGAATGATTTTTCTATCCCCCTTCCTTCATATTTGCTATAGTAACAGACAATGGGGCGAATGTTGTTTCTGCATGTAAAATTTTACAAACTGAACATGGCTGGCATCACATTCGTTGCGCTGCTCACACCCTCCAGCTGTGTATCAAAGATGCCATCAAAAATACAGAAATAGCAAGGGCACTAGGTAAGTGAGGCTGTATGTGATGCTAAATAAGGGGAAAGCCTGATAAATCTATGGAATGCCTACAAATGGATAGTTTGAAATCATATGCTATTTAAATGAAACACTTTTTGTCAGAATATGTTCACTGGATGTATTTATGTATAAAAATTTAAATTTCAGGTGCTGCGCGGCACTTAGTGCAACACTTTAGAAGGTCAGCAAAATGCATGACAGCGTTGCGACGCCATGCTCAGTCGGCAGACACTGAAATAAAAAACATTGAGATGCCGATAGACGTTTCAAGCAGGTGGAACTCCACATTTGCTATGATAGCAAATCTTGTGAAAAACCAGTGGATAATTCGTTCGGTACTGGCTGATCCAACAATTGTCCCACGAGCGACAGCAGTCAGTCTTGAACTAAAGGACAACCACTGGAGCTTGCTGAGAGAAATTTCTATCATATTGAAACCATTCAAGGTAACTAATCAAGCTCAGAATTTCATTTCAAAAGGTTACTAACTCTGTGTTTGCTGCATCATAATGATAGTTTATGAGAAATGAATTATATTGATTAGGGTTATTTGTCCTTGGGTTTACAATTCAGTGTCCAAAAATTTGCAATAAAATATCTTATTTTTAGACAGCCTCTGATCACCTTGAAGGAAGTAATTATGTGACGATGTCATCTTTGCTACCAATTGCAAAAGGTTTAGTGGGTCAGTGTGAAGAACTCCTTGTCGATGAGCTTCAGCTATCGGCATCAAAGACCTTCTGTTCGACCATTCTCAGTTCGTTACACACTAGATTCTCAGATGTCATGTCAACTTCAGTACAAAGCGAAGGAGTAAGCATTTACCACAAGTCCACCTGGTTGAATCTTTTTCACAAGGGCAAATTTTTCAGCAGACAGATGCGAGTCTCGGTAATTTAATTTTTGAATGTTCTAATTTCAAATTAATCTCACTTCGATTTCTGATGCTGATGAAACATTTTTCATAGGTGCGGATAGCTGTTGAAACTGAAGCAGATACTTCTACGGCTCAGGATGAATCACGTCATGGACCCCTGCCACAAATGGATCATAGTCAAGAGCAAATGGAAACCGTGAATTCATCTAGTGAAATTCATGGACTTTTTGAGAGAGGCCTAGAGAACTCTGGCAGTTCTTCAGACTCGGAAAGTTCAAATATTGTGCCAAAGGAAATAGCTTGGTACTTAAAACGAAAGGTTGATGATAAAGAGTCACCACCTGCACCATTGACCTGGTGGGATAACAATGGAGCCCGTGCCCCTTTGCTCAAGAGAATGGCAGTGAAGTATCCGAGTGTACCCGCAACCTCGGCTTCTTCAGAAAGGGCTTTTTCTTCTGCTGGACTGACTGTTTCACAGTTGAGATCACGACTAACGAGTGCCCATGTTAATGAACTCAATTTTCTCTACTGCAATAAGAAATTGTTGGAGTGAAACAATATCTTCTTCAAATTTTGCCTTTTTCGCGAACTTGACACACAATATCGCAGGTTCTGACAGGGGGGGGGGGGGGTGATGTTTTAGGCACGATTTGAAGTTTTGCATGTTATTTTGGAATTTGTTTTCAGATAACAGATTATATTTCATTTTCCACTGGCATTTTGTTTTTGCTGTAATAGTGTATTGTGTGGGTGCCATGTCAGCATTAGAGGTGACGCAGTTTGGGTAATTTTTTAGCGATGAAAAAAAAAAAAAAAAATTCCGGAATCAGATTCGGAAAGATTCGATTCGAAAATTTTCGATTTGAGATTCGATTCGAAAAAAAATGTATCCGGAAGTGGCAACCCTAGTTGCCGCTGATCGATTTTCCTATGCTGGGAAAAGCTATTCGGTGTACACAGATAGGCTCTCCGGATGGCCTATTTTAACATCGTGGGATTTTGAGCCCTCCTCCAGGCATGTAATTCACTTGATCAGGAAACATTTTGCGTCTACGGGTGTACCAGTCCGGATGAGAACAGATGGTGGTCTGCAATTTTCTTCAGGTGACTTCAAAATATTTCTTTACAGATGGGGCGTCAATCACGTGATGTCAACGCCCACATATCCACAATCTAATGGAGTGGCCGAGGCAGCTGTTATAGCAATGAAGTCACTCGTAATTAAAACGACATCTAATGGAAATATTCATGATGAGGAGTTTCAGCGAGGACTTTTAGAATGGCGCAACACACCAAGGGTAGACGACCGCTCGCCAGCACAAATTGTGTTTGGTTTGGACACCCATTACGTTCCTGTGTTCCAGCACAGCACATCAAGGGTCTTTTGCTAGGAAATGGCGAACACTTGCAGAAAAATGTGACCGGAAGGCCGCAGCTGTATAGCAAAATATATTACGACGAAAGTTCCAAACCACTTCCTCCTCTGAAAATTGGTTCCAGCGTTCGAATCCAGGAGCCCACAACAAAAAAAGGAATAGAGTGGGAACAATTGTGGGAATCGGAAGAAATAGAGATTATCTTGTGAAGTTGCAGAGTGGCCGAATATGGTGGAGGAATAGGCGTTTCATTAAATTGAACATGACTGAAACACACAAACCAGAACAACAACAAATGGGTCAGACCGGTATGTTAGTCGTTGGGTCAGACCGACTTATCCGTTCCTGATACGCCTCGGAGGAGCGCGAGAGAAAGACGCCGACCCCAACAATTTATTGAAAACTAATGAAGACTGCATTGCAAATCTAGAATTATTAGAATGTAGTCTCAAAAAGGGGAGTTGGTAGATATTCATGCGCATAGTCTTGTATATAGCATATTGTGACGTCAGGGGATTTCCCTGTCTATTACTTTTTCTAGTGCTTTCTGTTAAGCTGGCTGGCTGCTTGTTATTTGATCTTATACTGTTCGCCGTTTCCTTTGTATATATTGTGTAATATGCTTCGTCACTTCAAACAGTAGATTCCTTGTCTTGTCAGGACATAACAAAAGCCGACTCACACACAGAGCGACCAATTCGACCGAGCGACAAATCGTTTCGACATCGGCCATCGTCACGTTCACACACACTTCCACTGATCGACAAACCTGTCGATGAGGCAACACGGTTAGTCAGTCGGTTTGCATTCACACGTTTGCTGTCACACAGCCGCAGTGCAGGTTGCGCTCGCGTGTTTTGCCGTGTTCTGTAATTGCAATGTAAGTTGCTAGCTAGCTTATTACCCGTATCCTACTGCATAAGTTACTAAACGATTTGTTTCCTTATTCAATTTTTATACTATACGGTACCCTAGAAATTGCTTGTTGGCGAGACTGCTGAAATAAGTCACAGAAACGATGGAACTGAAGGAGTGAGTTTCTCATATTTTTTATTAAATTAAATCACTACGGTTATTGCAGGCTCAGACAATTCACAGCTATTGCTGTATGGTTATCTGGTGTTAATCACACAGGCTGACATGCCCAATATTCTGATATTTATCTACCGTTACCGGTAAGTCTGTAAGTTGAGAAAACTGGGAACTAGTGGACTATAGGATGGGATTTGCATATTTATCTTGGGGAGTGAAAATCCAATACCACAGCTTAATCGTATTACGAACCGGTTACCTGTTATTAGGTAACCAGTTATCTGAGTTTGGTTGAATGGACGTGATGACCAAAATAAGGACTCTTTCTATAACTCTCATACGGCTTTACGATATATCACTACCTTCAGACCTTTTTTATATTTTTACTGCTTACTACAGTACTAGGAATTCATGTATCTGGAATAGCTCTTGAATAATTAACAAGACACCTTATTAATATTGTAATACCGATCATTCATTTTGCAGTCAGATCACCAAAGTTCTAGATGAGGGCATGCTTATAGGCCTTGTCGAGCAACATCCACATTTATATGACTCATCAATAAAAAGTTATAGGAACAGCAACCTCTGAGATATAACTTGGAGATCTATCGCATCGGCAATAAACACTAATGATAGGCCGCGAGCCGAGGCCCTGGAAAACGCCTAGAAAGTGAGTTTCGTAGCGCAGGTAACTACCTGAAAATGATTATAAAATGTTCCTTAAAAATTTAGTAACAAATATTGCCTTGTTCCCACTTCCAAAAGCTGCACGTTTTACGGAAAAGACGCTTTTGCTACAAGAAATATGTGCTACGATCTGTCCTATATTCTCTACATTTTCGGCGATGAACAATGACTTCTGCATGACGTAACAATTGAATCAGCTGTTAGCGAGCGGATGAATATAAGTTATTACTGCTTGCGTTGAGTTGGGCAGCCTTTCCATAGCCCTGTTTAGTTATTATTAGTTAAGTTATGCTAAGACGTTGAAAAATGTATAAGTAAGTTATTAAACACTTGTAGATCCTTCGTGAGACGTAGCCTTGAAAACGCCCAAAAAATGAGTTTCGTAGCGCACATCTGGTAACTAAATAAATTCTTCAGTTTTGTGTGAAAATGAACATACTGAACGCATTACAGCTTGTTTCACAATCCTGATGCAAAAATGAATGTAAGAGGTTCCCGGAAATTCAATAACCATAAGTTTACAACACATACATAAGAACTATGCAATTCGAGAGCCCTACAGCACACTAACACAAATGTATTCCCGTAATGTTTTGCCTGACCAAAATCGGACTTCCTCAGTCAATCATAATTTATTAGGTAGATTACGAAAAATATGGCATACATGTAACCAACAACAAAAAATACTTTAATTGTGTGACAGGAGTCGCGAGTGACCTCGAAAGCAGCTACACCAACAACGCTGATTCACATTAGCGAATAAATTTTATGTAATAACCACAAGCAGTTTACAACAAGAACAGCAAAAAAAGCTACATCCATTTTATAGAAGCTATCAAACGTATTTATTTTTAAGCAATGAAGTCACAAATCAACATCGTGAGCACGAAAACACAAATAAATCAGGTATTTCTCACTTAGAAATTTACCGGAAAAGTCAAGAAAATTAAATGAATGTACAATATGTACATAACATAGTGAACAGAAATATTACAATTAGTCTTTTTTTAGTTTATGTGGTTACGTATTTGAACAAAGGCAATATTATTTATAGAAACAGGACTACGACACTAACAAATGTCCGAAAAACAAACAAATAAATGATACTTATTAAATCAACAGCAATATCTAATTCACTTTCTTCTGAATTGTTTTCGAAATCCACTATCTCGAAAATCGACTTTTCCTCTATAAGTGTACTGTGATTTTTGCAGTCAATACAAAAACAAAAATCTGTACAGTTTAAGTTGATTTTGGCACACTCGCATAAATTATTTTGACTATTTTTCTTACACTTGTAGTTCAAGAACTGATTTGAGGGCCACATGGTTCTTAAGTGAATCATTGTTGGTTGGAACAGTACAATCCTTATGTTTGCCAGTGTTAAATAGACGTTTACATTTACATTCTTCATATCCTCTTCATACAGTGAACAAACAAATTCCTCAGCTTTATTTATTAATGCCTCGTTAACCTCAAAAGATCTTCATAGTTGAGAAAAAAATGAATTAAAAACCTAAATGAAGTCTTCAACATGAGTTTGATGGGCAGTTCCAATTGAAAAGCAGTGGCGGCGCGTGGTCATTTTGACAATCGGGGCAAGCTACTGCGGGACCAAGTCACCCCCATCTACGGGGACAGGATGAGCGCTGTAAGTTCTCCCATCATATATAGAGTATAAAAACCATTCCATCGGTAACAACCAATCGGCAAAAGCGATAATTTTTAACGATAAGAAAGTGTCTTTAAAACCGGTCCAAGTCAAGAGATTAATAAATATAGACATAGTTTATTTTGAAACCTCTTTCAAAAGGAAAGGCAATATTTACCCAGATAAATACAATGACATATTAACAGAAACTTCGGGAAAGCAGACAAAACCTAAAATAAGGTTTAAAACGTTACTATGAAGAAAGGAAAGGTAATGCAAAGATAAGGACATGCGTCGCTCACTCATTCATATATATGCTGCTAGACTTCTACTGCTTGAACATATATGCAACACGCCGCGGTTTCTTGGAAGCAAAATGCTCAATAACGCGCTGATTAAAGTCATGTATCCCAGAAATAACGTCTCTGTGAATGGATAAAACAGCCAAGGAATTTAATCTATCTTGCTTCATTGTGTTCCTGAGATACGTTTTAATACACTTCAGCGTGCTGAATGTTCGCTCTGCGTCGGAGGAAGAAATAGGCGTCGTCAAAATGATGTCCAGAAATTTTGCAGACGCCGCAAAGGCAGTTACTATAGTGTTATCTATGAGGAACCCATAGAGCGCGCAAGTTGATGTGATGTTCAAAAAAGTTTGATTGGTGTATATACATCGCAATTCATTTTCCAATTTACCCACGTTTATCATGGGGTGAAATTTGGAGACAGTAGCCAACAAATGGATGGGAAATTGACGTGCAAATTTTGAAAAATTTTTGGGGTTCATCAAAGAGAACGCGGCAA